GGCAGAATTTCCTACTCGGCAGGAGGGGTGGGGAGGTACGGCAGAGTGGTGTGGGGCGGCCCAAGGGGGTGGGAGAGGGTCCGGCCCACGCTGCGACTGGGCTGGGACTGGTCCCGCCGGCGCAGGGTAGCAGGAAACTCTCCGCACACTCACCAGACCTGGGCTAGGACTGGGTCTGGGGTCTCCCGGAACTCGGCAGAAAAAACGACATCTTCTAAATCTATGTCTTCAAAGGTTTGGTGAAATTCTAACTTTTCATTTGTGTCCAGTTGGTCCATTTGTGGCGGTGTGGTACTGAGGTACCCCATTAGAAGTGTATGAGTATTTACTTGATTTTCATGTCCATTAATATTTGTTTTATATAGCCATGTGTGCTGGCATTTAGTGCATATGTACTTTCCATTGCTGTTTCTTCCTTTGGATTCTTCTCTTCACAAGGATATTGTGAGCTTCTTTGTCTCTCTTAATCAGTATGGCTTGAAAGCCACATTGTCTGAAAATTGAAAAGCTATCCCCAAAGTTCCAGATCCCTGTTGCATTGAGCATCATTTTCTATCCTTTGAGTTTCAGACTATGAATTTGTTTTTGAGTTCTATGTGTTTCTCATATGCTGCGTGTTGTTGGATGCTGCTTCTTGACCTATTCTGCCAGTCTGTTTCTTTTATTTTGTGAATTGATACCATTAACACTAATGATAATAACAGATTTGCACTTAATTATACTTGTCATGTTATTTTCCTGTTGTTGGGTCCCATGTACTCCTGCTGTTGAATTGCTCACCTTCCCTGATGGATCCTTTCTCATGGAGTTCATGAGTACTTTTTAATCTCAGTCTAGAATATCCTTCAGAACATGTGGGAGTTCTGTGTATGTGGTCATGATTGTATTGAGGTTTTCTTTGTCAGAGACCTACTCTTTTTCTTCATCAGTTTTGAATGATGATGTTGAAGAGGTCATCACTCTGCGTTGGATGTTTTTTAGAACTTGAAATACTTCACTCCACGGTCTCCATGGCTTGAAAGTTTGTATGAGAACTCTGCTGTGATCTGATGGGCTTTCATGAGTGATTTGATTCTTTTCTAGAAAAGCTTTTAATACTGGATTCTTTTCTTTAGTCTTTCTTTACAAAGTGCAGTGGCCCATACTGCAATTGTTCAGCCCACACACAATTTTACTTTTTTACACCCGACTTGGTTTAAGTTCTCTGCACCACGGCACCTCTGTGCACACTAGACACCAGGGTCACTGCGCTGCCATCAGAAGCTCCCCTGCATCTGTCCCTCTGCACATCCTTGTTCCCAGGTTCCTGACCTGATCACAGATGATGCCTGCAGAGCCTGTGATAACCTTGTAGGCTGACAGGAAGTGGAGCGGCTATCACATCAGGGAGGAGACAGGAGAGCAGCAGCTTGAGAGGTTGGTGTGGAGGCAAGGAGACGGGTCCATTTGAGCTCTGGAGCAGGGAGGTGAGGGAGTTCCAGGCAGGAACACAAGGGCTTGGACCTGCCTTCATAAACAACAACAGCAACAAAAACCTCATCCCAGTTCTGCTCCACTGCTAACTACTAGACTGAGATTGAATTAGGCTTTAGGCAGTGAAGATAAGTATATTTTGCTTCTCTCCCTGCCATGGACATGGACATGGGAAAGAGGGGCTGAGAAACTCCTTGGTAGTAGTTTTCTTGTGCCTGCTGTTCCTGCAATGACTTTCCTTCCAAAGGTCAGTGTGTATCTGAGGCTGAGGTCTAGACACAATGCTGTTGGTCTGAGGCAGACTGTGGTGTCTTCTGATGTCTAAAGAGGTAAAAGTGCAGCCCCGGGGGATTGGAGACTCTCGTTGCTCACCTGAAGCCTCTAGTTGAGCACGATGGGTGAAGGATTATGCTGAATGACTGTCATTGACTGAACATTCGCATGGTGTGGAGCTGAGTATGTAGGAGCTCAGATCCCAAGATGCCTGCTGCTAGACCACAAGCATCTGTTCACAGGATGGTCACAGGAACTGAGTGGGTTCATGTGGTGACAACTGGATTGATCCCACATAGAGAGTTCCATGCTACATTTGCAGGTGGAGGCTGTGTCTGGAGGAGCTGGTGAGGGTGACCCAGCACAGGCAGAGTGGCTGCCAGCACAGGGAACAGAAACCAGTGACTGCTCATCTGCAGGATGGGACTGGGGACCTACAGCCATCAAAGGAAACTGAGACTCATGGAGCACACAGGAACCCTCGCTCTGGGCATTAGGTGGTACAAGGGTGTAAGGAAGACCTGGGTGCACAAGAGCTGTGTCCCTGGAATGGCAGGCATCTGGGTGTAGGAGCGGAGCTGCTCCTGTGGCTGGGAGGAGATGGGAACGAGGAGGATGGAGCAGTGCTGTGTGTGATTCCTAGCACACTACCACTAAGGCACGAGTCCCTGTACCTACACCACTGCACTTTCAGGAATTTCTCTCATTATTAGATTCTGCCACAGAGCACTTTCCTTATAGCTGATAGAGGTAGGAGAGTTGGAAAGAGGCAGAAAATGTGATCATGTAACAAGCAAAGAGAAGCCCCAGTGCTTGGGCTTTAACAACCCTGGATGTCTGGAGGCTCATCTTGGAGGGGCTGAAAGAGCAGCCAAGACCTCAACTCATCTCAGGTTCCGGGACTTAGCTGGATTCAGGGACCAGTGTGCCAGGCTCACTGAGTGCCCAGGCTGGCTGTGGTCATTCAAGGTTAGAAAACGAAACTAGAAGCTAATAATGAGAGAAATTCCTGCAATTGCAGTGGTTTAGATCCAGGGACTTGTGCCTTAGGGTACCCTGGGTATAGTGGCAGTTTGCTAGGAATCACAACCATGGACTTCCATGTGTTGTACAAGATCCCAGGCACTGAGATAATCTACGTGCTCTGAGCTCCAGGGCTACAAACACTTGCCATAAGGCAGTCAGCTTCCCCAGGGCTTTTTTTGTTTGTTTGTTTCAATTGCACTTTATTTCTTCAATACACCATATTTTAATGGATACACAGAACTTTTACTTGGTATCAATTATGATTTCATCCAGAAATAATTTGGCTGTATCATATCAGCAGGCCTGATTACTGATCTCTCCATTCCTTGGGGGTGACTCTACCAACAGGGGAAAGGTTCCATTCTGTTCCCATCTGTGTTGCTGTGTAGGTCCTCGCAGCAATACAGAACGTTCTCTACCAACTAATAGAGCATCACCATGTTTGTCATGGGAATCAGCTGTCCATTTCTGGTGGCTCTGCCTCGCTGCCATTTCTTCAATGCTTCGAACTGGAAAACGACCAAATGTGTTTTTGGCCAAGGGAAACCTCGTGGAGCTGAAGTTGAAACTCTAGTTACTGCAGCTGCCAGCTTGGTGTAAATTACTTCCAGATGCTCTTGCAAATAGCTCCCCAAGGCCTTTTGCCAAGTGCAGCAATCAGCTCAGAGGTTTGCAACAGTTACGCCAAAAACCATAGCAGTAGAAAAGCGCAGAGAGCTCACAATAGATAACTTAATGACTTGGGTCATCACTCTAACAATTTTCTATTGCACCTTTCCTGCATTAAAAAAAAACAAAAACAAAATAAAACAACAAAAGAAAAAAAAAAACCCGACATCTTTCTCCCAGTGTGTTCTCTCTTCTTGCTGCTGAGGACCTGGGAATCATGGGTGCTGAGGCTCTGTCCGCGGTCCTGACCACTTAACTGTTGGAGTCCGGCTGAGTTGTGTGTGAGCTCAGAGTATTTTTATTCCCAACAGCTGAGCGTTAGCACCCTGGAGGAGGGGGACCCTGCTGCAGATGCTGCACCCCAGCCCACTTCCTCCCTCTCAAGAACTGGAGGGGGCTGTGGAGGCCATCACAGGAACTGAAACCACAGTTTGATCAATGCAATCCAGGTGCAATCCGATGTTTTACACATTTGTTAAAAAAAAAAAAAAAGCAGATAAACTAACATTGATAAAAGTGAGGGATAGAATAAGGTCCCTCCACAGGCACCCATGTGCTCCTCCTCAGAATCTGTGACGTCAGCCCTGGTGTATAGATCTTTGCACATTTTATTAGACATCAGCTCCAGACATACTTGGTTTGATCCTGGTGGATCCCAAGTAACCACAAAGCACTTTCCTTATACTTGATAGAGGTAGGAGAGCTGGAAAGAGGCAGAAAATGTGATCATGGAACAAGCAAAGAGAAGGTCCAGTGGCTGGGCTTAGCAACCGCGGGGGGTCTGGAGTCTCAGAGTCTAGCCTCCCTGGAGGTCATCCTCAGGCAGAAGAAGTAGTTTGTAGAAAGTTATGAAGCAGCATCTGCTTTGGGATTGATTTTGCAGTAAACATTCATTTCAGGGTTTAGTAGTTCCTGTGAAGAAAACACAAAAGCCTTTGAGCTCTAGGTCCTTCTCAGAGCAGACCAGAGACTGTGGGGTGGCGACCGCCCCAGGCTGCTCTGTGTACACGCCAGCCTATGTTCAGGTGGCTTCTGGTCCCTGACTCCCCCTTCCATCTACTCATCAACGCTTGGTCAAAATTTTTTTTACAACCAATCACAGAGCCCAGCTAGATTCCAGACAGGTGCAGGTTCCAGGGCACCTCTGCTTCTGTAGGAGCAAAACATTCATCACTCACACTCACCTCATAGATGGGAACAGCTGCCTGGGTACTGGGGACGGTGTCCTGTTAGAGGGTAGAGAGCTGAGGTCAGGGGACCAGGAGGGAGGGTCATGGAGGCCGTGGAAGAAGTAGAAAAGGACTGGACTGAGCAGGAATGTTCTGGTCTCTGCCAGGCCCGAACTTTCATACCTGCATCCACTCTATCCCTTTCACCAGGTATAAGCACTGCAACCTCCTGAGCAGCAGGCTGCACCAAGTGACACCCAGTCCATGTCCTAGTTGGCCTTGTTGCCTGGGACCCCTCACTGATCCTCCCAGCACTCTCAAATCACCTGCCGCATTCCAGAGTGCCCTCTGACCAATGAAGGTAACCAGGGTCATCTCAGTAGAGGAAGAGGATGCAACTGACCCAGAAGAGGACACAGCTTCTGGCCATGACTTGGTTAACCCTTCCTGTCCAGGGGGAGGCTGCTGCTCAGTGCTCTCCTGGGGTTGGCAGAGCCCCTGCTCTGAGTCCCATGGCTGGGATCCCTGTGCAGTGGATGAGGAGACAGGCTTACCTGCAAGGTGAAGCTGTTGTGAGAACTGAGGCCTGGAAAGACAGACAGGAGTTATTAGGAAGGTGCTAAAAGATCCAGGGTCCTCCACAAGAGCTGAGGGGATCTTCAGCTCTCTGGGCATCAAGGTTGGAGCCAAGAAAAGCTCCTTATGATCCTTTGGAATAAGTGAGATTCTAAGAGGTGAAGACAATAAACCATTTCCAGGCTCAATTGAGGCTGGTGTCACTATGCTGCACTGTCTAACCAGAGGCCTCCTGGAAGCCCCAAGGAAAGGATCTGACTGCAGTGGAGGTGACTGCAGAAGTGGACACTGTGGGAAAAGCTTCATTATTTCCAGCCACTCCCGGGCTGACAGGACACTCACTAGGGTTGGAGACAGATTTCCGGTGCTCCTGGAGGTCATGCTGGACACTGGACCTAGGAAGGGTCAGACGAACACATGACAATGCAGGGAGAAGACACAGCTTTGTGCCTGCACACAGGACTATTTCCCTCCTACCATTAGATCCATGGTATGTGGGAAACCCAGGAGAGGGCAGACTGAGGTAAGGCTTTAGAGCCCTGTATTCTGACTTGGGCCAGAGGGAAGGCCTCACAGGCAGAGGCAGGCCCAGGAAACTGTCAGTCAGGAAAGACCTGGTGGTAAGGAAAGGAAAAGGAATTTCTAGGAAAGAGATTCAATGGGGGCAAAGGAATCAAACTTTACCTGAGTCAAAGGCCCTAGGCCCTGGCAAGGAAAGCAGGGCACCCTAGGTTATTAGGTCCCAGGGGAGCCACAGCCATCTCAGCTCTCCCCAGCATCAACACCCCATCTGTGCGCACAGCTGTGCTCAAGCCAGGAGGTGTTTAAATGTCACAGTGGCCTTGTCCTCTCTCTGTCTGCCTCGAAAGAGTCCTTGGGACCTTCCTGGACACCCTGACCCTCTCAGCCCTTGCTCTCCCATCTCATACACTGAGGCTAATGACTCCACACCGCCTGTCCAGGGTCCTTCACTCACCCTGTGTGATCTTGGTCAGGACCAGCCCCAGAGTCTCAACTGGGACCGCTCCCTGGGTGGGACAACTACAATGAACTGAAAGTGAGGCCTGTTTCTGAGCTCTAACCACCTCCCCAGCAGGCTGTGGGTTTTGTATGTGGAAAGCACTGTCAGAAGAAGAGTCACAGCCCTAGTGTTGCCCAATGTATAGATGGAGAAGCATTTGAGCAAGCAGCCCAGGTGAGGAAGGAACCAGTGAGAAGCAGCCAGCTGGATATAAAGGGAACACTTCATGGGAAGTCAGGGAGCTGAGTGCAAGAACCAGAGGACGGAGCTCCTCCCTGGGGGCCTGGCTCAGCCTGAGGATGTGGTGAGGTGGGGAGAAGCCTTGGTACCTTCTGGTCCTTGTGAAGAGCAGGAAACACCCCAGGACGACTGCCACAGCAACCCCAAACACTAGGCCAGCAATGGCCCCTGCAGGGAGACCCGGGTTCCTTTCTTCTGCTGGAAGGAAAGGCATGGGTAAGGACTGTGTTACCGGGGAAAGCCCAGGGCTGCATCAGGAGGGGCCCATGAGGGTTCCCAGAAATGTGCCAAGTTCCCTTTGTGGTTTATTGGGTCATCATGAGCAAATTCTCAAGACCATGGCTGTGGTCTCAGTTTCTGTTTTGAAACCCTGCAGGTCTGCCTCACCCTGACACCGCCACATGGCTTTTGTGCTTCATCCTCTTCATGTTCGTAATGCCTTTCCCTGTTTCTTTTTTTCCATCAAATGAGCACCTTTGAGGGCAGGTCCTATCCAGTAGGTGCAGGGCTAATAATTCATAGTGACAGTAACGGATTTCAGGGCCCTCTAGTGGTCAGGCAAGGATGAAAAAATTTTTAAATGTATTTGTTACAGGGTGTCACCCTGCAGCTTGGACTCGTCCTGATCCTCCTGGTTTCAGCCTCCTCAGCACACCCGAGGGTGGGGCATGCACTACCAAGGATCAAACTTCTGTTTCTGCACGCTTGCCTAAGCAGGTGCTTAGTCCACTGAGCTATCTCGCTGGCCCTCAGATGGAAATTCTGTATTGACATCTCATTTGAATTCTCCAACCTCAAGCCAGGAGGGCTGTCGCTCCATTGTGCAGATCTAGAATCTGAGCGTTAACTTCGTCTACAAGCTAAGTAAGATCACAGAAACTAAAGTGAATGAATGAAATGCGAGCCCCATCCCTAGAGTGCACAGGGAATAGGAACGTTCATCACACTGATCCGAGGTGGCAGCACAGGTTGAGCCTATTCTGTCCAGGACCCTGTGCTGAGGGCTTCAGTCTCCCCAGTGTAATGAACCTGCACACAGGAAAGTGAAATCCAGGTTTTACGTTCTAGTTGGACAGATGCAGAAACTGAAGCAAACCCCTGGTACAGACCAGAAGAATGATGATGACAAGGTTAACTCATTTCTGCATCTCTAATTGGGTGCTGTCCAGATTCTAAAGAATCCACTCCATATTCATTGCTTGGAGCATGTGATCACGTTGCGGCGAAGCAGCAGGAGGTGCTGAGGGTCACTCATAAGTCAAGGCCAGCCTGACGCTCAGTAGGAAGGCTCTACACTGAGTCCCTAGTACTTTAAACAAACACATGAGCAAAAGTATATGGGAGAAAATGGCATGGTTGTATGTAAGTGCTACTATAAGGCATTAGCGTATCCAAACATATTGGTGTCTATGGAGCTCCTAGAACTGCCTTCCTGCGGATATTGAGGGCTGATTGTGTATTTAATAAAGACCCAGAGCTCTTAACCATTTTACAAGATTGTTTGCTGCATTTGTATCTTAATATATTCCCTGGGACTTTGGGCCATTTTGCACATTATTGGAAGAGAAATCCTTCCCAGAAGATGTAGGAGGGGACGAGAAGTCACTCACAGTTCACCTCCAGCCTGAGGGGGTCACTCCTGCTGGAATTGCCTGCACCGAAGACCTCACACCGATATTCTCCAGCATCCTCCCTCCTGATGTAGTCAATGAGGAGGAGGATGCTGTTCTGGGACAGCTTCATGTGCTCTGTGAGCTGTAGGTGCTGGTCATTGAAGATCCACTGGATGGAGGTTTCTGTGTCACCTCCTGAAAGGCAGGTCAGGGCCACAGAATCCCCTTCTGCGACTGTGGTGCTGCTGGCCAGGATGGAAGGCCATGTCACTGACTCTGTGAACAAACAGGAGAGGAATGACTGTGAGTGGGCCTGCGGTCTGGGCTGTGATCCTTCCTCAGAGATCTCGGCATCCACAGTGAGATGTGTAAGGAAGTCCTTGCCTGGAACGGACCTTGAGGGTGGTGGCATGTCTTTGTTCAGGGGACAGTCACTAAGAGATTGCTGTCCCCTTCTCTGATCCCCAGTCACCCAAGGTGACCCCTGGTGATTCTTCATTGGGTGCCCATACGATCCACTTCTGCACATGGCTCTGGAACCCACTTTCAACCCATGTATAAAGCACCTAACAGATCAGTGAAAATTTACCATACAATTTCTCATATCCCTTTGTTTATAAGTTCTGGGATGGTCTGAATGAATATGTGCTGCTGTAACACAATGCGTGAAGCTGGATAATTGATAAAGAACAGATATTCATTGTACAGCAATTAACCACTGGGAAGAATGTATGCAATGTGTTAATTATTGAAACTGTCCTACCAATTTGGTTTGAAACTGTCTCATTGCTATTTGTTTCTCAATAAAATTATGGAAAAAAAAGAACAGATATTCATAGCTTACAGTTATGGGGCCAGGACAGTGAAGGCCACAGGTCCCTCTCAGGTCAGGGCTCTCTTGCTCCTGCACACCATGGCACAGGACATCACAGTGGAAGAGAGAGGAGGGAAGGGGCTGTACTCCTTTGCAGGGAACCTGCACCACATTCCAGGAAGGTGGAAACTTAGAAGTCTGTGTTCCCTTGTAGGGATCTGTTGGTTTTACTGTGAACAGCTTTCCCCGAGGAGACTCCACAGCAGGAATGAGAAAAATAGACAAAAAGACAAAAGCTGGGCTAGGTGGTCGCTAGTCTGCCTGATGGGCAAGACTAACTCAACTACACAACAAAACAAGCCTTTATTTATATTTTTGCAAAGTTAGTAGCATGGAACACAAGGTTGCCTAGTAACTAATAACTGACCTTAATCAGACAGGATGTTTATCTCAGGACTGAGGTAGTTTGTTTGCTTGAGGTGCTGAGGCCCGTCCCACCTACACTCATTTGATCAATTTCCTAGCTTTCTGTGGCTTCCAACATTCCCCCTTGCTGCTGGGAATGGGGCACTATAGGCAGGTGCACAAGCACACATGTAAAGTTCCTGCTGTCTTTTCCTTTGTCCCCAAGAATCATAACTAAGGTTTTATTCAGTTCTTACAGATCAGACAAAGTCCCCTAACATGACCATCACTGATGCATCTCACCATGTTAGGGGACACACCTGTGATCCTGGTATCACCATGGAGACACAAGTTGTGAGACACAGGCAGGGAGCCCTTCAGACAGTGCTTGTCAGGCCTGCTTCCCCTCAGGGAAGCTTGGGGAGCTCTGAAGGAATGTGAGCTCCCTGTGGGGAACAGAATGGAGTTGGGAGTCAAATGGGTGGCCCAGCCTGGGGCTCTGGGCCTTGCAGCTCTGTCCTGCCTCTGACCCCCTGCTGGGTCAGCACAATGGGGACAAGCTCAGACCTCGCTTGGGGCCTGTGCTACCCACTGGCACTTTGGAAGGGAAGAGCCCCAGAGCAGGACACAGGGGAGGCTCACCCACAGAGGGGGACACCACGTCATGACAGAGTCTTAGGGGGTGGGCTGCTGTGACTGATTTTGGTGGCCTTTTCTGGTGCCCAGGAGGGTGGGCCTGGCCCCAGGTGTTAGTGAGAGGAAGCACAACCATTGGCCATCAGTGAGGGAGGAAAGGATGCAGAGCCCATGGACATTTTTTGCCTGAACTGATGAGGAGGGAGACAAGGAACAGGAACAAAGCGAGAGACCCAGATATAGCTGTGGTACAGAGCAGTGCAGTTTCTGTGACTTCAGAGACACCAGAGACCAAGAGCCCACAGCTGCCTGTGAATCAAACAGAACACTTCTGCAAACCCTTCCCACAGCAGAGCAGTCCTGGGGTCACCATGTGAGGTGACTCCTGGGCTAGCTTTAAGAGCAGGTGACCAGGGGAAGACAGGAAGGTTCTCAGCCTCAAGAAGGTCAGGCTGCTACTGTGGCTGGAAACTTTCAGGATTCTATGTGCAAGCCCCATTCTCTGACGGGGTTGGGCCACTCCTTCTTCCTTCCTTCCTTCCTTCCTTCCTTCCTTCCTTCCTTCCTTCCTTCCTTTCTTCCTTCCTTTGTCCCTTCCTTCCTTCCTTCCTTCCTTCTTCCTTTCCTTCCTTCCTTATTTCCTTCCTTCCTTCTTTCACTGCTCATTCTTCCCCTCATTCTTCACAAACTATGGGATGGGCTATAATTGGGTGAATTGGCATAATGGTCTAGTGGGGCATGAGAGAGCAAAGCCATCTCTTTGATACTCCAGGAAACTGATTCAGGTAAAGGCCTCCAGTCTGCTGAAGTTTACTCCACTGTATACTGTATGTGCATGAAGTGGAATTCATCACCACCCACACCCAGAGGTCATGGGGAATAACTTACTGTGCACCAGGAGCAGTCCAGAAGCTACTTCAACCAGATAATTGCTCTTTATGACTTGTAGGGTGTAGAATCCCGAGTCCTGCTCTTTGATGTTCTGGAACAGCAGGGATCCATTGTGGTATATTGTCTCTCGGTGGCTGTATGCACGCCCCGGTAAAGTGTTGTTAGCTTCTACGGCATATGCTGCAATCTCGTTGCTGAGATCAAGCCCCTCGCCTTTAAACCATTTGTAGGCTATACTGTTCTCTGGCACATTGCAGGCAAGTAGAAGAACATCTCCCCCTTCAGCAGCATGGAAAGGCACAGCTTGAATGGTAACCTGAGCAGGGGTGGGTGGGGTCCAGGAGGTTAAAAGTGAGGCTGGGAGGGAGAGAGGGAGAGAGAGAGACAGAGAGACAGAGAGAGAGACAGAGACAGAGAGAGAGACAGAGACAGACAGAGAGAGAGAAACAGAGAGAGAGACAGATTAATACTGGAAAACATTTATATTGGATGGCAGTACAGGACTATGACTTCTGAGAAGATGCTTTCATTGCTTAGTGTTAATGGTGTGTGTGTGTGACTGTGCTGAGGTCAACAGCAGCACCCTTCTGTGCCCCTGAACCTGTCATTCCCTGTTTGGAGCCCTCTTCCCTAGCTGTCCGCGCGGTCTCTGCTCACTGCCCTCTGGTCCTGCTCTCATTCAGGGCAGCCCGGGCAGCCACCTTCTCTGACCCCTCACAGCAGACCTGGGTCTTCAATTCCTCTCCTTTTCCTGCCTTCTTCCCTCTGTAGCCCTTGCCGATGCCTGACTTCCGCTCTAGCTGGCCTTGCTGGTGTGTTTGCCTTCCACTAGGCTGAGAGCTCCGTGAGCCCAGGCTCTGACACAGCCTCAGACACCTGTGGATGAACGAGCGAGGGCTCCCGGGGCCTGCCGTGCAGGGCTTTGTACACATTCCTGATGCAGATGGTAAGAATGGCACCTACTACTCAAGGTGTGTTTTTCTTTGAAGAGTCACCCTGAGCTTGTGAACATCGATCTCCAAATATAATGACCGTGTGGGTGTGTTTAGACATGTCTGTAATCCTAGCACTTGGGAGGCTGAGGCAGGAGAGTGGCTGTGAGTGAGGCCATCGTTGGCTACATAGTAAATTCAAGGCATGGCTTATCTGCATAGTAAAACTGTCTTTTAATATATATAAATTCAGGGTGGATTAACTTGGAGCAACATAGAACTCTTCATCCTCCTTTTGTCATTCCCAGTCACTGAGTTTCGTGTCATTCAGGCTTCTATTCCTCTCTGTGTCCACTCCCCTCATGCTCCACACAGAAACCTCCGTCCACTCAGTCTTGTCCTCCCACTGAGCACCATCAGTCGCTATGTGTTCATCCTCCCCTGTCTCCCCCAGGGACTGCCCCCTCTCACCTGCAAGCAGGAGGCCCTGCCAGGGAACAAGGCCTCTGTGGGAAGTGGCTGAGCGGGGCTCCATGGTCTCTGCTGCCTGCTCTGTCCTCCCTCTGTGGAGAACTGCTGCTCCAGAAAGGCTGCCCTGCAGGGCTGCTCAGCAGCTCAGCGCTGCTGTCCTTTCTCCTCTGAGCTGAGCCTCCTCCCAGCCCTGGGCACGCCTCCATCACCTGACCTGGGTGGAGTCTAGGAAGCCTCCCCTCTCCTACCCTGGGCCCTGCCTTCCCTGGGTATTCTCCTGCTCTGCATTGTTTTGCTACCTCAGACCACACTTTGAGGACAAGTTGGGGCCTCTGTCACCTAAGAGAAGGACAGGCTCACCCCCTCACTGTCCTGGCCTCCTGACTATCCACACCCTATGGACATCCCGAAGTTCCCAAATCCAGGGATCCAGGGGTGTTTGCCATAGAAAGCCAGCTGGACACCCAGTGCTTCCCCAGGTTCTTTTTTTTTTTTTTTTTTTCGTTGAAAACCAATAATTTATCAAAAACGCTGCAAGTGTATGTGGGGGAGGGTGTTGCGACAGGGCAGCCGTGGGCAGGCGCACAGGGAGGGGACTGTGCCGGGAGGATGGGGGTGGCACCCTGCTGTGGGGGAAGGCTAGACATTCTTGCCGCGCAGGCGCAACTCGTGGCGCCGCAGGTGGTTGTACAGCGACTGCACATAGGTGAAGACGCACTTGGGGTCGGGCTTCTTGCCCATGATCATCATGTCCTCCACCTCCACCAGGGGCATGCAGTCCACCAACATCTCAGCAGATGAGAAGGCCACTTCAAAGTTCTGGCGCCGGTTCTGTGGGCTAAGCTGCCCATAGTCAAAGGCTTCGGGGAAGAAGTTGTGTACCAGGGCACAGAAAGCCATCCCATCACTCCAGCTGGAGGAGAAGTTCTGGATGTCCACATACTCGTAGCCACGTGTCTTGGCTCGGCACCAGTCCAGCAACATCTGCTTGATGCTGTTGGCATTGGGAACCCCAAAGCTGGTGGAGCGCTGCACAGCGGTGCGAGGTCCACCAGGGCTGCTAGAGGCACCCTCTTTCTCCAGCTTCTTAATCATGGCCTTGCATGCCTGGGATGCTGAGGTCTTGGGCAGACTCTGTGCCTTCATCAGTTCTTTCTTTTTCTCGGCCTGGCATTTTTCAAGAGCTGCCAGGCTCCCAGCCCGTGGGCTGGCCTGGTCCTCTCGGTCAAATATGCTGCCCATTTTCTTAGATGAAGAAGAGGAAGAGGAGGTCTTGATTTGTACTGTAGTGCTGTCACTGCCATTCTCCGAGCGCCTCACAAAACTTGACTCCACGGTAGTGGTGCGGGCTGTCCGTGTACCATCATTGGACTGGACGAGCCGCTCAGTCTT